GTGACAGAAGAGCATTAAGCTAAGCATGGACTCTTTTGAGCCCAGGGCCCTGTGCAACTCCACAGGTTGCATGTCCATGAAGCTGACCCTACCCGTTTGCTTCTAGTTAAGTTCACTCCTTGCACACACAGCTTCTCCATGGTCACAATTCCTGAGGAAATTTACAAAAGCAAATCAGCCTCCTGCTGCTGCAGTTGATCCCAAGGTTGTAACTAATACTCACTATCTCCCTCCCTCCTCGCCACTCATTCTAGATTCCCCTCATCCTCACCTAGCACTTCTTGGGTGGATGACCTGGGGATCAGACCCTCATCCCTCCAGGGCTCAGACCCTCGTCCCCCCAGGCGCTGAGGCGCAGGTTATCATGCCCTTATCGGCCACATGTATGGGGCTGCCTCGGTGGCTCCCCTCAGCTGCCATACATCTTCTTTGTGTCCCCATTATACAGCAACAGCCCTACCAATAATGGGAGTTCCTTCCATGCCTGCTGGTCTATAGGGGTCAGGAGACCAGGTGACCATGAGCAGCCGTAGCTTCAGGGTTAGTGAGATTCTTTGTCCCTGCCCAAGAATCAAGACATTTAGACCCATGGAGCCTAATGTTGCAAGAACAAGAAGCCCAAATGCTTATGGTCACTGGGAGTGACAATAAGCTTGGCTACTCCTCCTTGGTCCCTAAACCCATGTTTTCTCCCTTTTGGGGACACAGCATTGCATAAAGTCCATTGGTTCAAATAGTAAATAACATTCTAAAGAACACTTCCCCATCTCACAGGGTGCAATTTCCAAGCTAGTAGAGCTGATACACCTTTAGGAGGCCCCATTCCACTGCCATCCAGGTGAGCATCTTCTGGACGCCATGGTTTGTGTAGGAGCAATGGCTCCCAAAGTCAGATGACTCCTGCTACACTTCTGCTGTAAATTGAGTCCTTAGGGCTGAGGAGATATTATGTTTTCTCACATTGGTCAGCCAGATACTCTGGGAATACTCAGAGATGGTGCTGACCAAGACCATGGAGTATCTGATTCTTACTGTGGGAGACCACATAACATCACCTTGGACCAAGGGACCCACTTCACTATCCTCCAATACCAGGGATCTGTGTACTATTTTGCAGAATATCAGGATGGCCCAGATCCTTTTGAGTTATACTGCTACAGAGAGCAGAAGAATTAACAGCATTGGGAAAGACCTGAATATACACTACTACCCGTTCCAAGAAAATACAAATTGCTTCCATTCCTTCTTTTTCATGGGAATGAAAAAGAACACATTTTGCATTTCAGTAGCGGCATATTATAGACCAGCATGGTGTTAATCTACTCTAAAAAGATACTCCATCTAGCGCAACAGATACAAGCAGGATTACAACTTGGTTGTTTGTTTTAAGTTGGTAATGGGAAAACGATGGGAACCACTACAGTCTTGAAAGCAACACTTTGAGGATCCCTCTGATTTGCAATATTTTTTAATTTACTATCTTGGCTTGGTAGGGATTTGGTGTAGGTTGGGCATGTCACAAGCTTATAGTTGGCATTTCCTAGAACTATAAGAGCTCTTACCCTAAAGGTGAAAGAATCAATGTCCACTGCTAAGCAGGTCCATACAATTACATATTCAGAAACTGGGGGAAACGATCAGTCTGTAGTTCAAAGGCTCATGAGGAACCCACTGTGAAAAGGAGCCAGGGCTCCATTTATTACCTGAGCATTATACGCCTCATACGCCTCTATTCTAATAGGGGGACCATGGTGGCACTTTGGGTACCTGATTATGAATATCAGCTCTGATTCTGTGTCCATCAATGCTTGGGAAAATCTAGATATTTTTTCCTTCCCCAATAGAACCAAGTAAATAACCATATATCTCTTTGGGAAATAAATGAGAGAATCACAATTAGTGTGGTGTTGAAGAGTCTTTTCTCATGGACACCTGGACTCTCATTTGGTCACTGGGTTCTGTGTCTGAGAAGTGGCTCAGATCTAGAACTTGGCAAAGGATCATAGATTTCCATTAGAGCTGCTGACCCTAGCCTTCTGCTAATTCATTCTTGATCACTTTTGATTATGAATATTCAGCAATAGTTTTGTTGACTGCTCACCTATCTTGCTCCTAGGAACACCATGTTCTATTAATCATTTCCACAGAATATTCCTGTAAGTCAAGCCCCCATGTCTCCTGTTCCAACCTTGCTGCTGGTATACTTACACCTATCTTGCTTTTGAGAATTAACTTGCTACTCAGCCTTTGATGGTCTGAGGTCCGCTTCTCCACCTTGATACAAAGGAGCTCAGCTTCATACTGGTTAATCCTAGCAGCCTACAGAGGATACCCAAAACTCCACTTCTCAGGGATGCTGGTGCCCCCCTCAGCAGTTCAGTCCTTACTATTTTGGTAATGGAATGTCCTCCAGATCTCCCCCCAACATAGTTCAGTTGGTGGGTTTTCCAGTCTTGTATCTTAGATCCATTCTTGCATGCCACTTCTTTGAGTCTTGTAGTCCTTCCTCCACAGCCTGCTATAGCAGTTCTGGCACTTCTTCTTCATTAGTCTGGGATACAGTTTTTGCCAAGCTTCTAAGAGCTACTCCAGCGACACATTAGATCTGTCTCCTAGGGCTCCAGGACCCTTGTCAGAGTGTTAAATCCTAGATCACTTGTGACCCCTGAATCAACAAACTCTCCTTAGCCAGTTTCATACTGTGCACCCTTGGCCTAGCACCCTCAGGATTTGAACCCAACAATTCTTTCCCAGTTTCTACTACTACATGTTAACCAGGTTCCTCTCAAAGATTCAGAACTGTCCCAGTCAGATCATGCTGGAACTTGGCCCTAATTATCAGGCAAGTAGTCAGAAGGCAGATCCTGAGGCAGGTATACATTTAAGGTTTTTACACTGTTTTCAAATGTGTCAGGTATTGAGTGGGAGTGTCTCCATTTTCCACTAAGAGTAAGTGGATAACTTCTACAGTCCAAGAGTGCTCGGGAGAGCCTTCGGGCTCAAGGTTCTCTTGTGTATCACCCATGTCTGAAGACCCCCACGGCTTCCCTGTGAAGGGCCTGACTTTGGCATAGGTGACTTACCTAAGCTGACAATTCAGCCTTCTCTGAAGTTCTATAGCACTTCCAGTTAAGCCCTGTATGTGGTCTTTATTTCTTCCCTCCTGTAGCTAAAGGAGATGAGAACTTCTTTAAATGCCACCAAGGAGGCCCTCTGATTCTCACACTTTGTTCTAAGTGGGTGACTGATTGCCCTGTGCTTGTCATTTTCTCTCATCAAAGCATCAATGGTCTCCAACAACAACCACCCATCTCCACAGTCCTTATAATAACTCTTTCCCCCATATCTCTCTGTGCCAGAAGTGTCACTCATGTCAGTAACCCCCCTGACCTCCCTCTCCCCTTTATGCTGCCCCAGTCCTCCACAGGCGACAGTTTCAGCAGTTGTTCTGCTACTGCACGCTGGGAACCATCGGCATGCATTCCTCACGGGGGTTGTCGTTGCCAGCTGAGCAGTGAATTATCCCCCTCCAGAAATGCATCTTATAATCTACTTTTAGGCACACTGGTACGAACTGTCTCATGTCAGGTTCCATGGAAAGAGAGCCTAAGACTGGATTTGGGTGCATGTAAAACTTTATTAAGGAAAGTTTTTGAGGAAACCTCTTTAAGAGAGTTAAGAAAACATAGAGAAGAGGGAAGGGTAGATGTTTTTCAGTTAAAACAAACCTTGGATTGAAGAACAGAGAGCTCAGAAGTAAAACTGCAGGCAAAGTTGTCCTGCCTCTTGAGACAAACAGGCCAGCCTTCAGCTGTGAGCTACCTTGGAGAGGGAAGATGGGGGTGGCGGGAGCATGGGGGGCAGCTCTCCAGCGAAGGGGAGCAACACACACAGCAACTGAGTGGCAGGTGCACCAACCAGGTAAAAATGACCTCAGAGAGGTACCTACAACATCCGCAATTATGAGAGTGTTTGGAAAATGTTGCATATAGATGAGTTTGCATATACCAGTGTCTATTGAAACCTAGGGATATAGTTCTTTATTCACATTTCTCTCTCCAGTGGAAGATTCTTAACTATTCTGTGGCAAGGACTCTGTCCTATTCATTTTTGCATTCTTAATTCAGAGGCAGATGTTGAACTGTTACTAAATAAACATTTATCAAATGAAGAGCAGTTTGGGGAGATCACAGAGCAATTTGAACTCCAAGCTAAGTATTTTGGGTGTGATTCTGTTGGCAGTTAGAAAGTTTGAAAGCTTGTTGGCAGCGGTGTTTAATATGTATTGGATTTGGGAGAGAATGGACAGAACAGCCAAGAGACTGTTGCAGCAATACAGACAAAAGCACCAAGAGGCAGAATTCCCATGGAGGCTGTGAGTATGGAGAGGCAGATGCAAAATCCATTAAAGAAAAATTATCTACAGGGTCCAGGTGGCCCCAGGCTAACATCTAGCTCAGAGCTTTTCAGGGATGTTAATCAATCAAGTGAGTTAGTTTTGTGCTTATCTGCCCCCAAGCAGATAGAAGACCATTTCTCATGTTTGCATGGAAGAAATATCTAAATAATAAATCCATGTGGGTTTTCTCACTGTCATTGTGCACATTTAGGCAAAACCCATGCAGTAGGCATGGTGATCTTTTCTTTCTCTCCATATTTTGGCCAGGATCCTACAGTCATATCTGAGAAAAACTCAAGGTCATCAATGTGGAATTTGCTCAATTCATGAGCACATGGAATACTTAAAATTAAGGTGGTTTCCAGTGTCATTGCTTTCAAATCAATCATTCTATCCATAACATATATTTCAAAGTTGCAGACTGAGCACATTATTCTTGACTGTATTCTGGACTGTATCCTGGGTGGAATTCTTTATCCGTGACTCAGATGGATCATATACACACAAGAAAATGCATTGGTTTCTTTTAATTTTTTTCTGAACTCTTCCAGGGCTTGATTGTCAGCAAAGCTATGTATAATACATTTCTCTCTGATTTTAGGGCTCAGTGACTTTTGGCCAGGTGCCTGCTGCTCACGTGGTCTTCCGAGAGCCAGTTCCCGGGACATCTGTTACCTGGACCGGACCTGGATTTGCCAGGGTTCTCCCTGGGGCTGGCTTAAGATTTGCTGTCAATAACATTCCTTCTCCCATGAATTTCACTGTGGCCATTCGCTATGAAGCTCAGGTATCCTAAGTCCAATGTATTTGGTGGTGAAAGTCTCAAAGACATTCTCGCACTAAGTGTTTCCATCCCAGTCTTGCTAGATATGTTTATCATAAAATGATTTGCAAAAAGTAGAACATCTGGAGAGCATTATACACCCAAAGGGTTTCCTAAAGATAATAAAGCAACATAGTGAGCCATACACACACACACTTTGCTCCAGGGAGAGAAGCTGAAGTTGGAGTTATCTATTTAAGGCGCTAGGTCTAAGGAAGTGGTGATGGAATGTTTGTAGAAGAATAATAAATAACTAAAATAACATAAATCCTTTTCTCCTGGTACTTTTTTTCCTAAAAATTTAATAAACTAACATGTGCAGAGATTCAGACTTAAGGGATGCAGAAGAGGCATTTATTTGCATTTGTATTTTCTCTGAAAGAGAAAAACTAAACTAAAACATAGGCTGCTTCTCTTGCCTCCTACAGCTACCTTATCCTTCCCCCACCTTTTGAGAAAAGCTAAGACAGAAGAGAAAACAAATTAGAAAAACACTTGGTCTAGAACAATTGTTCTTAACCTTTTCTTTGGTAATCTGAAACTCCACAGATCATCTCCCCTGAAAGGTATTTTCCATGGCTTGGTGGGGGAGGGGGTCCCAAAGTCCCTCTGGAAATGTTTGCTGTGTGTTACATGGCCAGAGCTGCTGACCCATTGTGAAACTCTTGATATGACATAATTCTGTAGTTCACACTTACAAATGAAAGTCAAGGGACTTCAGTGAGTATGACAAAGAAGTTGTTAAAAATATATACATATAAATTTTTCCATAGAGAGGGCACATCTCTAACAGCTTTAAAAATCTTTTCCAAATTGTAAGGCTTTCAGAGTATAGCTAATATGCATATACTATAAATATATATGTATAATTTTATACATATAAATATATCTAGTAATATAATAATTATTAAATCATATAACTTATATATGTAATAATATTAAAAAAAAGTACATATCCTTTTGTGAAGGATTCCAAATTTTTATTTTTGTTCTGTGATCCATCAACACGATTAATTAATTGATGCTTTGGGAGACAGAGGTTAAAGATAAGATACGTCAGGAGTACCAGGGTTTTTCAGATTCGTGAACTACTCCTACAGAGCTATGGCCAGAAACAACATTCCTCTACCTGGATCACAATTCAGACGCCAGAGAATTGGGCCTGAGAGTGAACCTCTAAGACTTTTTTCAACTCGAAAAATCTATTTTCCAAGTGAGCTACGGGTTGCAAATTCAATTCCATGCACTATTCACCAGGTACATATTTGTGCATCCAAATCAGATTCCCACATCGTCACAGTGACGTGCTTTTATGTCCTGCCTGTCTAGTCTGCTGCTGACTGGGTTGTCCAGGTTGCGGTCAGCCCCCGCGGAGGAAGCGAGCGCTGTCCGCGCAGGACCCCTCCGCAAGAGCCTCCGTCTTTCACCTTACCAGCAGCCTCCAGGTATGCTTCGGACCTATCCTCAAACATTGATGGTTTCCTAAAATGTTGTTCACCTATCAACAATTTATATCCAGGAACTAAGTTCAGAGAACGGATGTATTAAAGAGAAGTCTAAAGAATGTTCCTTTCCTGTTCCCCCCAGGGCCTTGAAATGTGAGAAAGGAAAAATGCAGCAAGAATAAGATTAAAACATTCAGCTTGAGTTATCTCAGCTGAGAGTCTGCGAGGTAAAAAGCATTTTTTTGAGGCCACTAATTTTGCCTCATTAGAGATTTGTGGCAAAATAAAACAGACGCTGATGAGATTAGCATGATAGATAAGATACAGGACATTTGTATTATCCTTTCCCCACAGCAGCCATGACAGCCCATGGCCAACAGTTTCTAGACTGTGCTATTTGCTACAACCTATGGAAGCGCCACGGAGAATGTCAGTGTGCATTTACTGTCTGCCCAACCCACACAGACCGCGCCTGTGCCCACAGTGGAGCCCACATCCGAGCACAGGTGGAACGCTACCAACCACTGTGGTCACTTTGGTTATATAACTGTCCTTTTGTCGCTGAATTTTTGCTTTATTTCTCTTAATACAGAATCATGCTGCTTCCCACACCCATCTGTTTAGAACCAGATGTACAATATCTCATAGATGTCTATTTTTCGCAGTCTTTGGAAGGAGGGTCCTACGCTCATTCACACATCCTTGTTGATTCTGTAAGTATCACAGAGCTTTGTGGGTGCTTCCTTCTAAACTGTGCTCTATTATAGTTCTACTTTTAGACTCTCTGGTGACATGTTTCCTGGGAAGTGTAAATGTATTTGTTTAATAATGAAAGTCAGCTATTCTCTATAAAAGTTACTTAATAATAATTGCAGATCTTACAGATCAGTATGTGCCAGTGCCAGTAATGGTTTGAAGTATTTTACATACTCTATTCAGTCTCATGAAGTCAACGATTCTGTAAGGTAGGTACTCCTATTATCCTCACTTACAGGTGACAGCACTGATGCACAGGGCCACAGAGCTAGTAGTGAGGAGCTGGAATCAGAGCCAGACTGCCTGGCTCCAGAGTCCCGCTCTGAGGCACGACAACACACCGGCATTCCAGAGGCCTTAAAGAGAAACCCCGCCACTTTAATTATCATCATCTTACAAGTTCCCGTTTATTCATATTATGCTTTTATGTTGTAATCAGAGCACTCACACAAGTATGCATATGGACATATTTCACTTTGCATTATACCATAAACGTTTTCTCAACATGTTTATGTAGCCTTATTTTTAGGAACTATGCATTGTATTTCTTTGAGTGACTTTTTAAATTTTTACTTTTCAATTAGGGTTTACACTCGATATTATTTTATATTAGTTTCAGGGTACGGCAGAGCGGTTAGATAATCATATACTTTACAAAGTGGTCCTCCTTATATTTCCAGTACCTACCTGGCACCATACATAGTTATTATAATATTATTGACTATATTCACTATGCTGTACTTTACATTCCTGTGACTATTTTGTAACTACCAATTTGTAGTTCTTACTACTTTCACTTTTTTCACCCAGCTCCCCAAAACCCCTCCTCTTCAGCAACCATCAGCGTGTCCCCCTTCTCTATGAGTAGGTTTCAATTTTGGTTTTTTGTTTATTTTGAATGACTTCGTTCAGCATCTTTCCCCCACCAGGCAGGGCCACAGGTAGTCCTTCCAACTCTCCCTCTGTGCATATCTTCACACTCAGGCTTGTCACTGGGCAGAGTTTGGAACTGAGTAATTTTACATAATTTACTTGTCTATTCCCCTACTTGTGAAATACTAGTTGCTTCTATTTTTCATGATGTACAGTTGGTACATATTTTTCAATGTTTTAAAATATAGTCCTATTTACCCAAGGTTTTATGGCTCCTGAAATAACTTACCAAATTAATTTCTGAAAGCTATTCTCCAGTTACTTTGCAGGATTATCAGTAATGTACAAAAGTAGCAGTTTCATCCCATTTTCAGCAGAATTGTATATAATTGTTTGGGATTTTTTTTTTAAGTAATTTTGCTTTTTTAAAATTGTATTTTTAAATATTTGTGAGAATCTTCTAATATCATGTTTTAATTGGCAAACTATGATCCACAAATTCTATTAGAACAAAGCCATGCCCTTTTGTTTACATTATCTACACCTCCTTTCAAGCTACAAAGGCCGAGCTGAGTAGTTGTAACAGAGACCAAAAATATTTACTATCTGGCCTTCAATAGGAAGTTCCTTGGCCCCTGATTTAATTAGCTGTATATCCATATTTTGTGAATTATGTCCTCAAAGTTCAACTTTTCACCATTGAACATTTTCAATTTATAACCCTGGAACTTTGTTATTTCACCATCTACTATAGAATTCTATATGAGGCAGGGATATATTGGATTTTATTTAACAAGGTAAGCTCTTATAACATCAAAAAATGTCTTTGTTTTAAGATTATTTTACTAAAGGCAGATTGCAAGATTTTGCAAAAATGGGAAGAAGGAAGGAAGGAAAGTTAGTGAGACAGGGAAGGAGGGAAGGAAGGAAAAACAGAAACAAGATAGCCAATTAAATTTGAATGCGGTATAAATATGTCCCAAATATTGCTCTCAAATATTGCATGAGATATACTTACCCTAAAAAAAGTATTCATTGTTTCCATGAAATTCAGTTTTAACTAGGTGATTTATACTTTCTATGTCAATTTTATCCAAAGGTAGCATAAAACCTGCACTGGAGGGCCATATAATATCATGGTGAGGTTCTACCATGTGATGGTAGAAATGAAGTGGAAAGTAGAAACAAACTCTTAAAAGGGAAATTCAGACTATTGTGATTCCCCTTGCCACACAATTTATATTATCTGCTGAGGAGTTTTAAATAGAACTGTGTTCCTGAACTAACAATTAAGTTACAAAGAAATAAAATCATATCCAATAGATTTCATTCAGGGGGAAAAAAGCTAAAAGTTAGGAGCTCAAGCAGAGTAAAGAAAGGGACAGGAGGAAAATAAGGAAGCCCTAAATCACAAAGGGATGTAATAATAATAAGAATAGTCATGAAACTCAAATTTGTAAGAGCCAACTTACCCTTCATTTTAAATCCATATCCTAAATATTTCTAAACTTCATAAACTCCAGAGATTATCACCTGATGCTATATTAAATGCATCCATCCAAATTACTCATTCATCACCCAGTCACTGAGTGTGTGGGCCAGGCACTGTGCTGGTTCCTGAGGAGTAAAATACGACCCCTGCCCTCTAAGAATTCTCAGTCTGATACAGAAGAGAGCCATGTAAACAAAATCATGACAGTGATGCTTGATAGATACATAATGTAAGTAGATAATTTGGAATTAACTTTAAAATATATCTATTTGATCAGTTTTTAAGCAATTATTCTTTTATATAAGCATGAAAACACTGAAACCTGAATGAGAATTCAGAGAGTACACTGATCTTGGCAAACTGTCAGAACCTGTGGAAGAGGCCATGGGTCCCTGCTTTAGGTCAGGTTCCTCAAAAGCAGAAGCTGTGACAAACACTAGGGTGCACCTGATTTATTGAGGGCAGGTGGGCAGGAGAAGAGGAATGAGGGGAATAAGAGAGGACAGGGGAAGAGCGAAGCAAGGATATGGTCTGCCCTGAAGCGGAGCTGCAGCCTCATCCCACAGGGAGCTTTGGAACAGGAATTATACCACAGAATTGGTTCCGCCTAGAGACAAAGTCATGGGCTTGTGTGTGCTCAAGTCATTGGCTACAAGCTCACCACCCCATTCCCAAGTGAGTGCATTAACTCCTGGACAAGGTGATGGACTCCAGTTTTCTGGAGAAGAGGACAGCTGCGAGCTTTTGGCAGCAATGCCACAGCAGCTGGCAGGCGGGAAGACCTGATCCATGCCCCCCTATATTTCCTAACGGAGGATGTCTAGTAGGAGAAAATCATTGGACATTTTATGATTACAGACTAATGCAGTTGTTTCTACACCATCAATTTTGCTGCTCTGGGAAGATACTTGGCTGTCTGGGGCTTGATCCTTTCAAAGTTTCTCTGCAGCCAGATTAACATTTTCATCTAAAACTAAGATGAATTACCTGGAAGACCAGATGAAACTTCTGTTCATCCCCAATGCCCCTTCCGCATAAATTTTTTTTTGTTGGCAGTATAGTGAAACAGTTAAAAAAAATTTTTCGGTTTCCCTGATTACAAGATACATGCATTCATAAAAGTGTGTTTAGCCCTGAACAGCGTGGCTCAGCTTGTTGCATGTCACCCCACAAAGAGAAAGGTCGCTGGTTCAATTCATGGCCAGGGCACATGCCTCAGTTGCAGGCCCTGTCGCAGTTGAGGCATGGGTGAGAGGCACCCAATCGATGTTTCTCCTCCACATCAATGTTTCTCTCCCTCTCTTTCTCCCTCCCTTCCCCTCTCTCTAAAAATAAGTAAATAAAGTCTTTTTTTTTTAAATGTGTTTAAAGTCAAAAATATATCAGGTATCCTAGAATATAAAACTGCCATTCTTCTTTCAAACTGTGGAATCAACTGCACCTGGTAAACATAAAGTGCTTAGAGTTTCTAGGAGAATTGAGTCATAGCATTGCAAAATTCTAAAGCTGACAGAGACTCTTGTTATTTGGTCCATCTGATACAAACTCTAAACTGGTTCAGACCAATCACTCTGAATAATGAGCCCCTCGCTGGCTGCCGTCATCCCCAACCCCAGCCCATCTGGCTTCCTTTGGCATCTCTCTCCCCTTGGCTTGTGTTTGAAGAAAGTAGAGACATTTAAGTATCAGCTTGAAGATGTGATACTAGAAATTTATATAAACGTCCTTATTGAACAAGTTTGTATGCAGCACATACTATAAATTAGACACTATGGGAGGCACAGGTGTAAACAAAAGAAGCTCCTTCCCTGCATGCCGAGGCTTGGTCTCTGAAGAGGAGATGCAGATGGTAACGCAGGATCGACAACAATGCGGTGTGTGTTAGGTGGTGCTAGGGGCCATGAGAGGAACCTGAACTGAAAGGTCAGTGCTGCTCAGCAGACTTCTCAGCATCACCTGACCCAGCCTCCCCTTTTCTATTACAAATATTTTGTAACACCCTTCACTACCTTGAAATGAAATCCATGGACATTATAGCCTGCCGGCACCCAGAACTTCCATAGAACATCAATGTAATGTACAATTGCAAGGAAGAAATAAAAGGAAAATAATTTATAAAGCAGTCACATGTACTGCAATGGGAGTATGCATAGGCATGAAGGCACCAGGAGACAATGAAGTAGGAGATGCTCGTACATGTAGAATCGCTGTATATGAGACAGACACAAAAGCAGGTGTGTTGGAAAATTATTTAACATGTTTTAAAAGCATAGAGTAAGTAGGGATTTCTTCTTCATGGATATTCAGTGGAACATTCAAAACCTACTGTTGAAGACATGAAATGATTTTTCTTTTTTTGAGAATGTCTATAGCATTTGTGACCCCCACCCACTAAATGCTAGTAATACCCCTCGCCCAATTGTGACAACCAAAACCACGCACCGTAATTTCCAAAATGCCCCTTAGAGTTGTCCCATGTTGACAACCATGAAGCTGAGAGGAATGAATTGAATGAATGAACAAGTAAATGAGTGAGTGCATGAAAAGCTTAGATTTTACTCTGAGACAATGGAAAGCCACTGAAGGAGGGCGTTATCCGAAAAAGAATTGCTCCTTTTAAAGGATCAGTATGACGATACAATAGAATGTTGATGAGGAAGGGAAGACAGGAGTGGAAGATGAGACATCTATTGGGCTGCCACTATGGTAATCTAGGTGGCCCTACTAGGGAAAGTGACAGGAAACCAAAAAGCAAAATGCACCCTAAACACAGTTAAGAGGTCAGATTGACCAGCCTTGTGATAGAATTGATGTGTGGGGGAGGTGGAGTAGGTGTGGAGCACTGATGACAAAGAGACAGAGATGACCTTCTTCAGTTCTCTACACGGAGCAGCCTGGTGGATGGTGGCATTATTTCCTGACAATAAGAACAGAAGGGAAAGCAGGTTTCAGGTGTGTTTGTTTTGCAGTACCTGCGGGACCAGCAATAGGCTTGTCTGAGCATATCTGGACAGATCGAGAGCCCACTATCGAGATGTGGGCAGGAGATGTAAATTCCCATGTCAGCAATCTGTACATAGTAATTAAAACACAGCATTGTCACGGCCACCTAGGAAGTGGGCTTGGGGTGAGAAGGAGGCCAATGGAGGAACCCTGAGGAACATTAAGGATGTGTAGAAGGAGAGGTACTGCATCGGCATGAAAAGTGAATGAGAGAGGAGGCAGTGGGATGGCAAAGAAACAATTTTTCAAGAAAACCGGAAAATCTTTAAATTCAAGAAAAATTGTCCTTTAGGGTCCATGGCCTTGTCTCCCTGTTCACCTGAGCTGTCAGGGAGTCAAACTGGGCAGCTACCTGAGGTCCAGGAGGTGATTTTACAGACGACAGAGACTTAAGCACATTTAAATGCCAGTTGAGAGACAGAGATTAAAAAAAAAAAAAGAATAACCCACAGAAAAGTGTCCTGAGGGCAGAGAGGACAGCAGTGAGACACTTCTCCCACTGGGATCCTTCTTCCCTGTCAACAGGAAGGGTCAAGGACAGGTGGTCGTCCCTGTGAGCCGGGAGTTTGGCAGGCAGGAGGTAGGAGGCTCTAAGTGCCTTGGCTGGGGTCTATTTTCTCTGTGAAGTGAGAGAAGTAAGAAGCAATGACACATGCTGAGAGCACAGGGGAAATGAGCGTGGAGGTCTGAGGAGTGGCGACACTTGGAAATAGTCGTCCAACGTTAAATTCCACCTTCTGCTGTGCCAAAGGACGAACAGATAAGGACTAGAAAGGGTTGGAGTTAAAAGACCATGGAAAATGGTATGAACAAAGCAAAAAGATCAGAGGCGACTTACCCATGCCACTAGGTCGTCTCTCCTAACATGATCTCCTGCATTAAAACTTATTTTTAATGCTGTTTTTCTACCAGCTGTTCAAAATGGCCAATGTGGTATGATTAATCTGCCATGCTAACACATTCTCTATTATATCATGTAATATGTAAATAAACCTTTCAAATAGCATTAGACTATAACTTAGATAAAATCTTCTTTAAACTACAGCTGTAAAGCTTTTCTTCACATAGATGTTAAACTATAGATGATTTCTCTTTGAGAATGAACTAATAATGCATTTTTCCCCCATAATAGCCATAAGATCTAAGCCAGGAATTCCCAAAATGCATCTGTGAATTACTGATTTTATGAGATGTTAGTATTACTTGAATATAGGACCAAATGGTTAAGTAAGTCTGAAAACACTGAGTTTAAAGAGCATCTTTCTTACAGGACTTCTCAGAGCCTTTGCTATGTTAATCTATTCTGTGAATCTCCAAGAGGCAGATATAGTTTGATGTAGAATGCCATTTTCATATGTAATTGAAAAAGACAAAACTCATAAAGAAGAGTTTTGTGGAATTAGAGTTCCACAGTAACACTATGGAATGCCCTCCGCCATGATTTTCTATTAAAAGTAGCCTAGTATAAGTCTCTCAAATCTAAGACAAATTTATTAGCAAATTATGAAATAGTAGTTAGGACAATTAAAAGATACAGGCTTATTTATTTTATTTGCCATTGGTAAATACATGAAAATATTTAGTTGAAGTATTCTCAAATAAGTTGAAAATCTTTAAATATTTAGTTATAAACCAGGGACGTCCAATCTGTGGCCCGTGGGCCACACACAGCACAGGATGGCTATGAATGTGACCCAACACAAAATCTAACTTTACTTAAAACATTATGAGATTTTTTTGTGATTATGTGTTGCAATGTATTTAATGTGTGGCCCATGACAACTCTTCTACTTCCAGTGTGGCTCAGAGATGCCAAAAGGTTGGACACCCCTGTAAATTTAAAGAATTGAACTGAGTCTCTTTTTAACCATTATTTCCATATATGAATCTGATTTTTCATAACTGGAATCTGAACAGCAGACAGTTGTATACATAAGTCTTTTCTTGTTATTTTAAAAGCTTGGTCTTCTTCCCCAAATCAATGCATCAGAGGATTTCTGCAGCAAACCGGATTTAGATGAATATCAGCTGCACACCTGTGTCGAAATTGCCTCGGAACCAGGAGCTCAAGTGCTCCCTGGTGCATGTGAAAGGCTCATCGTCAGCATGTCTGCCAGGCTTCATGATGGGGCAGTGGGTGAGTGTCCATTTAGTAGGTTCTACTGAAGCACTGCTACCCTATAAAGATGCTTTTTGGAACATGAGTGAATTGATTTAATTTATTTTAGCATCTATTGCAAAAACCAACTGCTTGCCCAGTGATTAGATACACAGAGTGGTCAATGATGTGCTGGAATCACAATGTGCAGCATAGAAACTGTATAGAAAGAGGAGCCATGCAGTAGGATTAAGATGCTAGCTTGCTGGAACAATAGCCCTAAAATATTTATTTAGAATCCTGGGATTTTAGATCTGGACTGAACTCTAAACAGCTTCTTTCATCCCTAAGGCTTCATTTAAGAAGTGAGATGATTAGGGTTCGAAAACATTAGGTAACTTGCCCATGTCCCTAAGCTATCGAGGGGTTCCTCACCCTCAGTAGTTTTGACATTTTGGGTTGGATGACACTTTGTTGTGGGGGCGGGGGGTGTTGTCATCTGCACTATAAGATGTTTAGCAACATCTACCCACCTGATACCAGTAGGCACCCTTCTCCTGGCTGCAACATCCAAAAATGTCTCCAGACTGTGTCATATGTCCCCTGGGGGCAAAATTCCTCCCAGTGGAGAACCTCTGCTCTGGAGTGGCTGTGTCTGCGAGAGCCTGTGCTTCCTGAGCTCCAGGCAGATGCTTTCTTCTATAGAAGGGCTATGGCTTCAGGGTATCTACAGCTTCAAGAAAAATATAGAATAAGAAAAATCAAAGGTGTAGTCCAGCACCAATGTAGATCATTAGGAATTAACATAATAATAATAATAATTACACTGGAACAATTAATTATTAAAACAATCTATCTTAAGCCTTTCATTAACTTAAATATTTATTATTATTATATTTATTGAGCACTTGCTACATGCCAATCACTGTCATAAATACTTCACAAGCCTTATTATCTTTAATCCTTATAATCTCATGAGACAGATCCTGTATTATCCTCCTTTAACAGATAAGGGATTAGGGACTGGAGAGGGACCACAGGAAAGAGAGGCCCACTAAACCTGCTAACAGGATGAGGTGTTTCTCTGTCACTTCCTTCACCTCAACTCTCTTTTTTCATTCCCTGTAGCCTGCAAGTGTCACCCCCAGGGCTCAGTCGGGACCAGCTGCAGCCCACTTGGAGGCCAGTGCCAGTGTAAGCCACACGTGTCTGGGCGCTGCTGTGACAGGTGCTCAACAGGAAGCTACGGTTTGGGGCATCATGGCTGTCACTGTATGTAGCAAAAAGCAGATGGGGGAAACACTCTTGTTCACAGCCTTGGAGTTTCGAAGGCAGGAAAATTGATGTGGGGAGTCACAAAGGGGAGGGGATTGGGAATTGGACTACATTACCCAGACTGTCTATGTAGACAAAATGTACTGAAATTTTTTCTGCTGTACTTCATTCATCCATTCACTGTGCAGAGCTCTATTAGGAAGTGTGTGTGATGATAAAATCATGGTCCATGCTTCTGGAACTTTGCAGCCTGTGTCAAATAGGGGTGGCCAGGTAAGAGGTGGGAACACCACGAAGGGAGTTGTCTGTATGATCTGGCATGTAAGCCAGAGGCTGGAAAGGCTAAAACAATACCAAGATTGAGAAATTGAGAAATGGGACAAAACTTTGACCAGGATATTGCACTTTCTGATGCTGGAGTAACAAACGGTCTTGGAACTCATATTATAGGTTACCCATTAATGAAGGCTTAGAAGGGGCTTCAAACACAGTGGGTAGTTCAGTTATCATGGCTGTCATGTTCAAGGTATAGAGCTCTCTGTTCACCATGTCAACCATTAGTGAAAATTGTGTCACCCGCAGAAAGCTGCCTTAGGAGCCGTGAAAATCACCAGATACATTAATTCTCCTTTCAGGTAGGGAAACCTACCTTTCAGTCCTGATTCGAAGCAATGGCACACCTTCCTGGTCATTGCCGGTCTAGCAAACATCACAGCAAACAGCTTAGGTCTACCATCACTTCTTTTTTTTTCTTTTTCTTTAAAAAAAAAAAATCAATTGCTTGACATACAGAAAGGAGCAAACATTTCCAGGTAGTATCCTGTCAAACAAATAAGCATCACATTTTTTTGTATAGGGAAGATCAGCTCATAGGACTCAACAATTTAGCAGAAAAGGGTTGAGCATCTACAATCTCATCAATCTATTTAAGAAAAAGAAAAATCTGGCCATCTTGAGAGATAGATTTAAGTTTTTTATTATTATATTTTATTGATTATGCTATTACAGTTGTCCTGATTTTACCCCTTTGTTCCCCTCCACCCAGCACCACCCACAACCTCAGGCAATCCCCACACCATTGTTCATGTCCATGGGTCATGCGTATAAGTTCTTTGGCTACTCCATTTCCTATACTGTACTTTACGTTCTCTTGGCTAACTACCTATTTGTACTTCTTAATCCCCTCACTCCTTCACCCATTCTCCCCCTCCCGCCTCCCATCTGGCAACCCTCTGGTAACTACTTTTCTCTTACTGCTTTTGAGATTCTCTCTTTGTCTTTATTCTTTGGCATTTTAATTATGTGTCTTGGAGTGGGCCTCTTTGCATCCATCTTGTTTTGGACTTTCTGTGCTTCCTAGACTCGCATGTCTATTTCCTTCACCAAATTAGGGAAGTTTTCTTTCACTGTTTTTCCAGATTTCCAATTTCTTGCTCTTTTTCTTCTCCTTCTGGCATCCCTATGATGTGAATGATAGACCTCTTGAAGTTGTCTCAGAGGCTGCTTATACTATCCTCTTTCTTTAGGATTCTTTCTCCTTCTTGTTGTTCTCATTGGTTGTTCTTTGCATCATTATGTTCCAAATCATCGATTTGATTCTTGGCTTCATCTACTCTACTGTTGTTTCCCTGTAAATTGTTCTTCATTTCAATTCGTGTATGTTTTGTTTCTGACTGGGTCTTTTTTATGCTGCTGAGGTCCTCACTAAGTTCCTTGAGCATCTTTATAACCAGTGTTTTGAACTCTGCATCTGATAGATTGCTTATCTCCATTTCTTTCAGTTCTTTTTCTGGAGTTTTGATCTGTTCTTTCATTTCCACCGTGTCTCTTTGTCTTTTTGTTTTGGCAGCCTCCCTGTGTTTGTTTCTATGTATTAGGTAGAGCTGCTTTGACTCCATGTCTTGGTTATGTGGCCTAATGTAGTAGGTGTCCCATAGGGTCCAGTGGCTCAGTCTCCCCTATCAGCCAAGCTGGGTACTCAAGGTGCGCCCTTTGTGTGGGCTAAATACACTCTCTTCTTGTAGTTGAGTCTTGGTTGCTGTTAGCAGATCAATGGGAGGGATTTACCCAGGCCAGTCAGTTGCAAGCACTGGCTGTGACCATTGACTACCAACCTCTGCTGTCCATGGAGGATCAGCTCTGCAGGGGCAGGATGTTGGTGCTCTGATGTGGTCTGTAGCTGTCCACTGGTTGCCCTGGCCCTGGGGTTTCCCTGCTGATGCAGGCCAAGGTCAGTCCCCACCTGTGTTTTTCCCGGGGACACCCTGCCTGAGCTTAAAAGCAATCTGGCATGGCTGCTACTTGTGCTAAGCTTGGAGATTCTCAGGTGAAGCCAAGCTGTGAATCTAACCTGGCTGCCACTAGGACTCACTGAAGCCAGATGTTGCTTGGTTGATAGGATTTAGGATCCAAGACCAACCATTCTTATGGAAAAGCAGCTTGGGTGGGCCCAGAAATTGGGAGGGGCAGAGCCTCTGTGGATCTCCAACGTGGGTCAGACAGTGTCAGCCAGGTTGATGGAGTCTCAGATATGGCACCAGCCTACCAGACCTGTGAGGGAAGGGTTTGGCAAAGAGACAATTGCCTCTGCTCCCTTGATGCCAGACACTTCAGTTTGTCCCTGTATACCACTGATGCCTTTCAAGCTGCTACCCCGGTGCTGGAGCTCGGAGGGAGTGAGGCTGAGTAGGTGAGTCCGTGTGTGGGTTCTTTAAGAGGAACTGGTTGGGGGTCCATAAATTTCTTCTACTGACTCCATCCCTGCTGGTTTTAGCAGCCAGAAGTTGTGGGGACTTATTTTGCTGGCACTGGAATCCTGGGCTGGGAGACCTAGTGTGGGTGTGGGGCTCCTCACTGCTGAGATATCCCTGCCGAATTTTTATCCATGTGGGTGTGGGACAAGCCCATTCCATGTCTGCACCCCTCCTAACAATATAGATAGATGTGGTTACTTTAATTTTGTAGTTGTCAGACTTCCATTCAGCTCGATTTATGATGTTCCTGAATAATGATTGTTCTATATTTTAGTTGTAATTTTAATGTAGTTGTGTGAAGAGGTGAGCCATGTCTGCCTACACCACCATCTTTTTTTTATAGTCTTAAAGTTTGACTCCCAAGACACATGAAAGTTCAAGTCATTAAAAACACATTACTTGTTCAGGTCCTCTGTATAAACAGCATTTATCAGACCCAATTGTTTACAATTCACTGTTTATTGAATGAATTGGGGAATTATTATTTAACAAACATTCACCTGGTACTCACTATATGCCAGGCTCTGCTCTAGGCACTTTAGAGACTCACTCTGTTCATCCTGTTTGGGATGAAATGGTAAGTTAAGTACTACAAAACTACAACTGTACCTCTCTCACCAGCACACCACTTGCCCCCGACCCCAACATGCTTCTCTTTGCTTTATCTAGCATGTCACTGCCACCCTCAAGGCTCAAAGGGCACTGTGTGTGACCAAATAACCGGACAGTGCCCCTGCCAGGAAGAGGTGGCTGGCCGCCGTTGTGACCGGTGCCTGCAGGGCTATTTTGGATTTCCCAGCTGCCGCCCTTGCCTTTGTAATGGATTTGCAGAGCTTTGTGATCCAGAAACAGGGTCGTGCTTCAATTGTGGGGGGTTTACAACTGGAAGAACCTGTGAAAGGTATGGAATTCATATGTGCTTTCATTTTTAAACTTTTTTCTTTTGTTCTGATCTCACAACATTCTCCAAAGAACCATTGAGTAGAAGCTCAACGATATTTAATGTAGAAAGATTGCTCTGGGTGGGGAAGATTGTGTCATTCCATAATCCGTCAAAATCTTGTTATAGGTTAGACAGTGTCTGATTAAATGAGTACTAGGCAATTGCCTGGCACCTTGCTTTTTATAGTCCTTAGATACAACATGTAAATTAAGTGCTATTATATTGAGTTTAATGGCTATACCGTGGGACTTTCGATAGCAAAAAAAAATCCTTTTGCAGAGCAAATAAGCATCTTCTAAAATACTGAGTTTTCAGAGTTGCACAGTGCTAATGCACAGCAAATTCACATTGGCTAACTTGCAGGCTTTTCCTGGGAACATTTTCCTGGGAACTTTTCCTTGACAGATGCATCGATGGTTACTATGGAAATCCTTCTTCAGGACAGCCCTGCCGTCCTTGCCCGTGTCCAGATATTCCCTCGAGCAATCGGTATTTTGCTCATTCCTGTTATCAGAATCCTTGGAATTCAGATGTAATCTGTAATTGTCCTCAAGGTTATGCAGGTAGGTAGTATACTTTATGGTGGTTGTTTTTCTTCCATTACACACTGTTATCTGAAAAATAATTACATATTAATAATTTATCTGCCTTGGCCAAATGAGTGTTGCAGAATATAAGTTAATGGTAAGAAATACAAGTTGGTAAATTTCTGCTTTACGAACAAAGAATTTGAATGACTCAAGAACCAATGACAATTAACTCATCCCACTTGACTATAAATTTTAATGGTGTTCTGGAAAACTCACTGACCAAATGAGTTTAAACCAGATTAATTTCTTTAAAATAAAATCATCACATGTTAAGATATATATGTGATTAAGTAAATATATGTGACATATTGTGTTGGCCAAAAAGTCCATATGGTTTTTTTCATAAAAGACATTTTTCATTTTCATAAATAACTTTATTTATTTGGATATTTTAAGTATGTAAGCTATCACTGACATGGTATAACATTAACTGTTCTCAATTAATGTCTCACTTTGATTGTATGGACTTTAACTGGTCCACCTGATGTGGAGCATTGCCCAGTGAGAAATCTCCAGCACGAAACTACACAAAACACTTTTGACATGTTCAATCAGTCACAGCACCTTCTCCATAAACTGTACAAATCCTTTTCTTTTTTGCATTTCAGCTGCATTTTTACCTTTCTTGAAATAATAAAGCATAATATGCCAAAAATGTCACTTATTTTCATCCATCTTCAATATTAAAATGGCTATACAAAAATTCACCAATTTTGACAAGTTTTTTAAAAGTGCACACTGATGACAGCTGTCGCAATACAATCTAACAAAATTATTTTGAACTAAGTTAAAGACAATTAAGTGCTACTAGAGCCAACCCAATATATTACATATAACATACACTATTAAAAAGTAAAAAAAAGAAAAAAATTTTACCAAATGCTTTCTTCGTATAATTCCAAACAATCAATTGGACTGGTATTTCACAGGTACAACTAATTTTTTCAGGGGTCTAGAAGCACTGATTTGGACAATGAAGAGAGACTACATAAGTTAATTCAATATTTGGGTTTGTTGCTCAGTCAACAATTTTAAGTATGAGTGTAAATATGTAATGCAAACAAGGGGGAAAATTTTTGAAGTTCATTTGATTTAATCACACTTAGAAAATACGGTGCTCTTATTTTCTTCAGTGATAATTACCATCATGATAATAAACTACATGGCTAATTTTTTTTATTATTTGTTACCTCTAAGGTTATACATTTCTCTATTTAATTCTTACCTTCTCTCTTATAGTCACTTGTCCATGTACACTTTGGCTTGGTTGGTCAGTTCTTAAGAGTTAAGAGCATGAATGGACTACCAGAGCATTTCTAAATGGGATGAACAAAAATGTAGAGAGTAGACCCACAGTTTGGGCACCTAAACAAGTTGTCTCATGGTTGGAAGGGTAAAGAGTACAGGGATGGTTTCTCCATAGAGTGCCCTCTTGCACTCATTCATCAAGGAAATTACTCTCACCAATCTTCACTTCTAGACACATATCTCAGGCTGCTGCTGTTTCACCTCTAGGACTGGGTGAGAAGAGGGGCTGAAACAAGCTTTGTGTCCGGAGGCACACAAGAGTGACTCTGGTTCTGTAGGGATCTGGGGGTCCTCTGCCTACAACTCTAGGTTTATAAGAAAGACTAGAATCCATTGTTCACCAAGGACTTTTTAGCTCTGGATTATCATTTTACCTTCTGATTGAATAATAAATTAAAATGAATGTTTTGTTTTAAATTAAAACCGTTTTCCTTATTCATCCTCAATGTGTGACCTCTCATTATTCCTAGAGGAGCCTAATTATTCTCTATTCATACCCATCTCCATCCCCTCTCTGCCAATACACACGCAACACCCCTCTGATCTCATTCCCTTTTCCCTTCCCCATCATTCAGGGAGGCAGTGTGAAGAATGCTCTGCTGGTTTCTATGGAAATCCAAGAATTTCAGGAGCACCTTGCCGGCCATGTGCCTGCAACAACAACATTGATGTAACTGATCCGGAGTCCTGCAGCCGAGTGACAGGGAAGTGCCTTAAATGTCTGCACAACACTGAGGGGCCAAACTGCCAGCTTTGCAAACCTGGTTACTTTGGATCGGCCCTCAACCAAACCTGCAGAAGTAAGTCTGTAAGGCTGCCAGGGGAAATGTGGCAGCAGAGTGGCAGCTCATGAATGTTGTGGCAGCTCTCCCATGCTCGTTTCAATCAGGCCAGTAGTGTCAGCACCCACTGGGTGATGGGCTGGGGCAGTGAACTCATCAGCAGAAATGGGTGCAGCTAGAGTATACTCACTGGTGTTACTAGTTTTCCTTTTCTGACTATTGCCTTTAACTCCTGCTCTAGTGGATTTTGAGCATTGTTTCTCAAGATATGGTCCAAGGTGCACTGTGCCAGAGTCATCTGAGGATGGGGATGGGGTATTAACACTCAGATTCCTGGGCTACACCCCAGACACACAGAATTGGATCTCTTGGGGTAGGGCCCAGAAATCTGCATTGTGACAAACTCATCAAATGACTTAAATGTATAAATAGGAGAATCATTGATGTAGAGGAGGACATAGGTTTAATTCTACGATAAATAAAGAGGAGAAATAAACTGCTCTTTTGTTTAGGAACTATCTCAACTATTTCGGTTCACCCAAGTCAGTTTAGTAAACGATTTGTTTTCAGATCTTGTACATAAATGGAACTCTGGTGAATGGCATGAGGGAAAAAGTGAGACTTGTGGTCTTCCTAAGTGTGAGCTCTTGGAACATAGTAAGCTCAACCATATGAAACTGCTGTTTGGGGAGATCAACAACAGTTGAATGAGTTAAACTTTTTAGATTCTTTGATAAATTCTGTACCATTGTAAGATGTTTTCTCGTTGAACTATTTGGAGAAATGATAATCCTGAGTCTAAAAAGCTGTTTGCATGGGTTGTTGAAAGCCAGCGTTATCACTGAATTTACTTCCTGTCATCTCAGGATGCTCCTGTAATCCTTCTGGCGTGAATACCACTGAGTGTCCCCCTGGTCGGGGAGCTTGCCTCTGTGACCCTGACACTGGCACATGCCCTTGTCTGCCCAATGTCACAGGGCGGACTTGTGACCGTTGTGCTGATGGATACTGGAACCTGGTCCCTGGCAGAGGATGTCAGCCATGTGACTGTGACCCCCGGACCTCTCATGGTAGCCACTGTGACCAGGCAAGATACTTTAAACTCTACTAAGCTTGTCTTGTCTATTTCCTGCCCCTTTTCTAGAATCAGCCATTTCTTCAAAGAGTGCCAGTTCCTTTTACTGGAGAATGGTATTAGAAACCAAGATCTGGGCCCCAGATGACAGTGCCTGTTTTATGTGTTCCCCCCACCCCTCCACCCCTCGTGCCTGCAACTACCAACAATGAACAAACTGCTGCATACCCGCATGACTGCTTGGCTTCCTGATTCATGCGGAACTCCTCATGTTCATGACATCACTCTCTGGCATGCTTCTTAGACCTTTGGGGAAACACATTTGTAGCAGACTCAACAAAGGGCACAGTTCAGGCATGGAGACTGAGGAAGCCTGTGAACCTGAAAGTCAGACGGCACTGGTTTAACCAAAGAGCCCTTATGACAAGAAGATTGGGGCAGCCCGGTCCATAGGGAATTCCTAGGGGAAGGCTGCTCTTTACAGTTACAGAACACTTTTCATTGGAGTACAGAGGAAACATGTGAACATTTAGATTCTCAGCTGTTTAAACAACTATGATAAATGTCTCTATCTCAGCCAGTAGGTGATTCCCCAGTGTATTCTTACAGAGAGATATAAATGTGCTGTCCAATATTTCCATCAACAGCTTAAGACGCAGATGGAGAAACATGCTTTTCAGATTTGCAGATATTGTGACGTTGTAAGCTAATGTGATAAAGACAGAACAAGAGACAAGATATCCTAATAGGCTATCTGGAAACAAGATGAGATCTTCACAGGGTCTAAGTCAATTTTTGCAATTGCGTTCTAAAAATCTGCATAAATACAGGGTAGGAATAATAACTTGGCACCAGCTCATGTGAAAAATATTTGAGGGTTTTCATATTGTGCTTCAAGTGATCCAGCTGTGGGATGGGCCGTCATGGAGATGATGCCCATTCAGGCTGGAGTAGGGGCGGGCCATACCCAGGCTCAAGGCAGTCATTGTCCCACTGTCCTCAGTACTAGCCAGGTGGCTCCACGAGCACTGTTGTCATTTCTGAGTATATTTTAAACATTATATTGACAAACTAATATGGGTCTAAAAGAAGCAACCAAGACACTAGATGGAACCATGGTCTTCTGTGGTGAAGGCTTGAAAGAATAGTGGGTGGTCAGCCTGAAGAAGAGCAGCAAATACAAGTTGAGAACGACTATGTATATTGGGGAAAAGGCTCTAGGAGGGAAGAGGAAGGCTGCCTGTTTTGTGCAGCCTATAAGGTGGGCCTCAGAACAATGGGAACAAGTTACAAGGAGCAGGTTCTACATTAGTGTAATAAAGCATTGCCCAACAGTCAAGGACAACCAGAAATATGGCAGCCCTCGGGAGCACCAACTTTCCCATAATCCTATATTTGAGCAGAAGCTAGTGGTTACTCCAAAGATGGGTAGAAACTTAGTAGATCCAGCTACCTTCTGAGTCCAGTTACATGTTCACTGGAAGGATACTGATGGAGTTGTTGTTTAAGAAGATTTGGACAAGTATAACCTAAGACCACTACAATAGAGATTTGCTTCTATATTTTTCTGTTGTTAATTTTGCAACCTTTTTGGTTTTCAAAAAGACTGGCCAAGAATCCAGTTGGAAGGGTACAGAAAAGGTCGACCCTCTCTCCAAAACAGAGTTAAATAACTGTCATTAAATGATCAAACATCAAGTGCAAAAAAAAAATGTTTTGTTGTGCAAAACACTGGTCCAATTGGGAGAAACTCCATCAGACATTCCATCATGGAAACATTCTTTGCTGAATTAATTGATGAATGTTTGTCCAGGTCTATAGCCTCTCTGTGTTTTGGGAGAACTCCAATAACTGTAGAGGAAAAGAATGTGGCCTGTTTCCCATTATGCGTTTTGTTTTCATTTACTTCTGTGTATGTTTCCCAGTTTGGAGCCACCTGTCCTTGAACAGCTGGAAGCAGGCGGTATATTCAAGAACCCTAAGCCAAAACACAGGAACTCCTGATCCTTGGCATTGCCAGGGGTCATTGCTGGCCGTGGGAATCATCCCTCCTCTGACTTTGCACAGCTGTATGTTCTAAATCATTGGAGGGAAGACTGTTTTGTACTGAAATGCATTTTTTTTTTTTTTAGATCAGAAAGCTTGTTAATTCCTCACCCATGAATGTTCTCACAGGTTACAGGCCAGTGTCCGTGTAAATTAGGCTATGGTGGGAAACGTTGCAGTGAATGCCAGGAAAATTATTATGGTGACCCACTGGGGCAATGTGTTCGTAAGTATTGGTAATTCTGAAAACATAAATACAGTCAACTTGGTCCTACCACAAGCGTGCTATGAACCAACTGAATTTCAAACTCCTTTATTTGGTCTTTGTATGTTTCCCAGTTTGGGGCCACAAATTTTAACTCACAAATTTTAATTCCAGTTTTGAAAATAATTTTTTGTGGCCCTATAAAACAGATTTTTGTTCTGTATTAAAACATTGGACTATATTAAATATAAGCCTATGTTCAAACTTGTACCTACATTAACAGTCCTCAAAGTCATTAAAATGAAACAGACCTTTGAGGTTATGACTTGTAGCCAGTTTTCTGCTATTTGGAAACATGTTGACAAAAATAGCTACTCTGGATTGAGGTACAGGCTGCGAGATATATGGCAGAGAGCCAGCAGAGGCTTCCTGAATATGGCTCTCTCATAATTCTGTGTATATCACATATTCACTCATTCATTTACTTTAAAACATTAATACAGTATCTACTGAATACTCTAGGTAGCAAACAAGTAAGACAAGGCCCACAACCTCAAGGAGTTTGAGTTCTAGTGCCTCTCATGCTATGTCATAGCACTTGTAAGATTTAGAAGCAATGCTGTCCAATAGAACTTTCTGCAGAGATGGAAATGTTGTATATCAGTGCTTCCCAGGGCAGGAGCCACATGTAGCCGTTGAGCATTTGCTGTGAGGCTGGTGCGAATGAGAAAAAGAATGCTTATTTCATTTAATTCATTTAAATCTAAATAGCCACATGTGGTTAGTAGCTACCAAGTTGGACAGTACAGATTAAAAGTTTGAGTTAGGTTCTAGAGAATGTGATTTTTGAATCTCTTTTTAAAGTCAGCTTCCAAAAGAAGTCAATTCAAAGAAATAACAGACACAATAGGCTTATCTATACACACTGCAATTCTTAACTCCTTTCCATTTTTCTAAATCATGTTTATTCTATTACAGATCTCTCAGTTTTTCCCTTTGCCCTCCTCCACCAATCCCCGCCCCCCCGCCCGCCAGCCCCCGCTCCCACAGTCAGTTCCCACTCTGTTGTCCATGTCCATGGGTCATTCAAACATGTTCTTTGTCTAGTCCCTTCCCCTTCTTTCCACCATTGTCTTCCTTCCCGATCCCCTCTGGTCACTTTCTGCCTGCGCCATGTTTCCATGCCTATAGTTTATTTTGTTCATTAGTTTATTTTGTTGAATAGATCCCACTTTTAGGTGAGATCATATGGTATTTGTCTTTCACCAAATGGCTTGTTTCACTTAGCATAATATTCTCCAGTTCCATCTACATTGTCGCAAAAGGAAGGAGTTCCTTCTTTCTTTTTTAAATGCAAATTGACTTTATTTTTTTTTAAATGTCAAAATCCATTATAACATATTAAAAAATTTAAATACATTATAAAGTCTCAGCAATTAAAACAACATGACATCCACGCAGAAATAGTCAAGTAGGTCAATGAAATAAAATGAGCATTCTAGAAACAAACATGTATATCTGTCTAACAATGTAATATATGATTAAATTGATATTTCAAGTCAATGGGGAAAATAAGGCTTATTCAGCAAATAAGGTGCATGGAGCAGTATTACTTGAAATAAAACAAGTACAGAGCCCTATTTCACACATTTATAATAAAAATATTCAGGTGAGTTAAAAAGCAGTATGTAAATCTAAGGAGCTTTAGGAGAAATCACAAAATATTATTTTTCTTACCCTAATGTAAAATATTCAGACCCAGAAGCTATAAAGGAAAATATTGACAATATGACTATGTTAAACATTTAAGACCATACAGTAATATATATATAAAAGAAGTTAAAGGACAAGTGATGGAACCGGAAAGTATTTGCAACACATCTCAAAAAAGAGTTGATAGTTTTGGGGGGGTTTTTTAAGGAAAAAAATCTACAAACATTTAGTCAAAAAATGGATAAAGAATACCAAAAAGTCACTTAAAGCTTTTTAAAAATAATAGAAATAGGCAAGAAATATACAAAACCAGGTTTATTTCAACAAATAATAAAGTAACACTGAAAATGACAGATCATTGTCACAATCAGATTAATAAGTATTAAAAATATTGGTAATATCAAGTACTGGTGACTGTGAAAGGAACTGGGTTATTCATAGAGTCTTTTTCTTCACCTTCTTACAGCAGTCCCCTTAGCATACCTTGCAGTGCTGGTTTGGTGGAGGTGTATGCTCTTAGCCTTCTTTTGTCTGGGAAACTCCTTATTTTGCCTTCCATTTTAATTGCAGCCTTGCTGGGTAGAGCAGTCTTGGTTGCAGGCCTTTGCTTTTCATGACTTGGAATATTTCTTGCCATTCCCTTCTGGCTTCTGGTGTTTCTGTTGAGAAGTCAGCTGCTAGCTGTCCTGCGGCTCCCTTGTATTTTACTACCTGTTTCTCTCTTGCTTCCTTTAGGATTCTCTGTTTGTCTTTGATATTTGCGATTTTAATGATGATGTGTCTTACAGTGGGCCTCTTTGGGTTCCTCTTGAATGGGACCCTCTGTGCTTCCTGGACTTGTGTGACTTTTTCTCTCCTCCAATGAGGGAAGTTTTCCATCATTACTTATTCAAACAGGTTCTCTATCCCTTGCTCTTTCTTCTCCTCCTTCTGCTATCCATATTGTACGGATATTATTATGTTTCAGGTTGTCCTGCATGTCCCTAAATGCCTCTTCATTCTTTTTGAGTCTTTTTTCATTTTCTTCCTCTTTGGGGGAGCTTTTTTCTACCTTATCCTCCAGCTCACTGGT